TTACCTCGTTCATTTTCAGCTCGAACAGATAAAGAAAGACGTAAGAACTACATATAGGTTGATCAGAGGAAGTGTGGTTAGCTACGCTGGATTGGTTAATTACGAGAAAAAGAAAAGAAGAAAAGGCTATACCACGTTTGAAGAGTGACGTGTTTGCTAGCGCAACACCAGCATCAAATAAAGTTGGCTAACTGCTCGACGTACGCCTTGGATCCACCCATGAAACCAGCTATGGTTACTGAGCGGGGCTCGGGTGGTGGAAGCGAGACTTGTCGCTACCAGACGCTACCAGAACCCGAGGAGATCATCCACCATTGGGCTCGAGTCGAAGACTCCTGGTCGATCAGTAACGTATTCAAAGAGAAAGCTTTAACCCTCTCTTTAAGTGGTTCCTTGAGTGAAACGCGGCCAGTGATTGAAGTGGCACAAAAGACCATCTGACCTAAGTCTATAAGTAACGAATGACGGCGCCACGTGACGTAATCACATCGCACCGTATTTCTTGTCGAAGCTGGGCCGCTCCCTGAGGTTGTGCATTACAATGTGAGCGGCTGAGAGGTTCAAGTGGAAGGAACAAAGCGATTGGCTGAGAGCATCAAGGTGACGTTATGCGTGCGTGAATGAAGGAAGATAATTTTCGGGAGCTCGCCTATTAGTTTGGCAAGAGCTCAATGAAAAGCGCGCGCGTTACACTGTGAGCCATCGTGCAAGAAGTATATGGTTCAGGACTGCGTAACTGAAACGGGTACCAATATTTAACGCACTGTTTACAAATCACCTGTATACACTAATGGCTATGAGCAAGTGTGAAGCTCGGGAAATTAAAAGATGTTTCATATTGATAATAAAGAGAAGTTTCGCATGGCACACCCACTGACATCGACACTAGCTTGACGTGGGGCAAAAGTACTAATTGTCCTGACTTCACACAGCAGTCTGGCTGGTAAGTTGTGATGGCGTCGAGAGGTGGCACACCAGACTCGTGCACCTCCCCCGCTCCCCTCCATTTTTCTTATATTTTTGCTGTGGCATACACAGCCCAAAATGGCACTCGACCACATTTTCCGGCCCGACCGCCACTCCAAATCAAAGAGGTGCACCTCGCACCCAAAAACATTTCTACCTACTCCACTGATATCAGGTGTCAGAACTTCCAAAATGTCTGCTTGTGTCTCCGAAACATTAAATAAGACCGTCTGCGCGTGAGCAATAGAACCACGGTGCGGAGCTTTCGTGGAAACGTCTCAAAATCTTGCGCGAGCACGCGACGACTACCGTCAGGGTAACGTAAGAATTGAAACGAGCTTTTAAAAACATACTGTGACCACTTATCCAGGGTGCACTCACGCTTAGGGGTACATTTTCGCTCTTGAAGGCTCGAGCTTTTCATTTGATGCAAAAATAAATGACAAGTGAAAAACAAAATTGTATCAGTACCACTTTTGACACATTGCAAGTGTGCAGCAGGCTTTTGCCCCGAAGTGTTCAAGAGTGGGAAATGCTGCCGCTTTTTTTTCCTCTCTCTTTCTTTCTCTGAAAGAATACTGAAACTATTGCAGCTGACTTCATGACTAATAGTGTTGGACTTGCAAATATTGCAAGTCCAACAAATAGTGCAAATGAGTTCTGCAGAACCCGCAAGGTGGTAGAAGGGTTCAAAAAAGGCCAGGTCGGATTTTTCGGCAACTAAGAAGCCTTTCTTTCTGAAATATCCGCACGGATTTTCTCGTGGCTTCGTGCTACAAACGGGTGGTTGCCTTCTTTCACCTTCTCTGTGTTAGACTTTGCACGACGGCTTTGACGCTATTCTTTCGGACATGACAGTCGCGACGTAATCATATTTACGGACTATAGCTACCAAACACGACACACTTTGGAAATTTGCACGCTGTTTAACCGGAAGGAGAGAAAGGGGGGGGGGGGCACGGACGTGCGCAAAGACAGCGCCGAAATCGGCATCAGGCTCACATTCGTTTTATGCGCCTAGTCAAGCGACGCATTGCCGGCTCTTAGGCAAGAGAGGCTTCGTGCCGTACGTATACATACATCAAGGCCGAGCATTATCGCAGGCGCCTGCTGCCACTCAATAGCCAGCCGCTCCCATCTATCGCTCGGACCGGCTCCGCCCTTACTCAGGAAACACGAGCACGTACACGATGCAGGTTCACCCGGGTGCGTCGATCTGTGCGGTGCTGCTCTACATTTCCCACTGACCTTGTTAGTCGCGAGGAAAAAAATAGGTAAAAGTAGTACTGCCCCCCCCCCCCCCCCTACTCAGCCTTCTTTCAATAATGCTCCAGAAAGCGGCCGAGAGAAACACGAGGAAACCAGTCGGACGGAGGGGCGCACGTGCAGGGTTAAGCGACCTTCCGGGTTTGCACGACGGTCACTGCAGCCTTGTCTCGTGGACTTGTTGCCGAGCCGCTTTGCCCGGAGAGGTCGCTGTCAACGAGGTACGCAACAGAGACGTGTGCGTTGAGCTGCTCGTCAGATGTTCGCGGGTCGTGTCGTCGTAGGAAGGAAGTTTTTGCCGAGTTTCAACTTTCACAAGGAAAACAACTTTAGATAGGAGGGCGTCTACCTCAAGGCGATCTCTGTGTTCGTAGTTGCAGTGTACACACTAGCGCTCAGTATGAGTTGCAACATGGTGGCCATGGTCGAAGAGGCCCGAATCTACACTGTAACACTTGCAACACATGAAATTCGTTTCGCAAGTACCAGTAAAGTCGAAACGGTGTTTAAGTCCCCGATTGCTTTTGTGTCGGCGCCACCGTGTAGTGTAAGCGCCGCCTTGACCGCTGGCAGCACGTCGCAAGTCATACTGAGTGTGCACCTGTACTTCCTTAAAAAAAGGTGCGAAAAGAAAAAGAAGACTTAGCTAAAATGGAGAGAACCAGTGCTCGGGGCACTATAGATGACCGGCGGGACGGCCATTAAATAGCTTCATAGGCAGGACACCGTACAAGCAATGCAGAGCGAGAGGTGTGGTATACACCTGCTGCGAATTAAAGTTTCATTCATGTTTCTTATCTCTTCCCCATCAATACTTCAGGTTCGAAAATTTCAGATGTCAATTAACTGCTTTCATGCTTCTGCTGCCACTAACATGTGATTGTGTGTGTATGTATGTATGTATGTATGTATGTATGTATGTATGTATGTATGTATGTATGTACGTACGTACGTACGTACGTACGTACGTACGTACGTATGTATGTATGTATGTATGTATGTATGTATGTATGTATGTATGTATGTATGTATGTATGTATGTATGTATGTATGTATGTATGTATGTATGTATGTATGTACGTACGTACGTACGTACGTACGTACGTACGTATGTATGTATGTATGTATGTATGTATGTATGTATGTATGTATGTATGTATGTATGTATGTATGTATGTATGTATGTATGTATGTATGTAAATGAAAGGCTCAAATGGGAGGTGTACATGCATATATATTCACTAGTTCATGGAAGAAGGTGTAAGTTTAAAGGCTCGTTTTCTTTGTTAGGTACAATAATAATGAGAACTAACCGACAATGAAGCAGAGCAAAGTTTATACATGATATAAACCACTAACAAATCATCAACGCTGCCAATCTTTATAGTAAGTCTATACTTACAGGGAGCACTGGTAGCAAGAGCTACGTAAAGCAAATGTCATCCCATGATGCCAGAACGGAAGATTGCTAGCATTCGGGTTGGTTATATTTTTGGCTGAACGTGGATGCTTGGCATTTCAGCGGCTCCGTGGGGACTGCAGCTTCCAGAAACGCATTCCACCTGGTTACCACAGGAAAAAACGGAAACTACGAGCAAGCTATTTTAGTACTGGTATATAAAAATGGCTTAGTTATAGCCGGAGGCGGAGAAACGGGACGACGTGCGTCGTCGTGCACGGAAAGTATACGTCGCAAACGCGTTTTTTTTTTTTTTTGCGGTCACGCACGTCAGTCTTGCAATGCCGGCCATGTCCATCATTAGCCTACAATGAAGCCACAACGCGCGAAAAGAACGCCCAATGATCACTAATTACCCCCACCCTGTTTCAAACCGATATCCCATATCCTGTTAGTACCCGGAAGTTTCCTCTACATTTACATTCGCTTCAACTTTTCCCGTCTAATCACGCGCAAATGATGTGCCGGCTGGGTCTGTAGATGCGATACTTCGGTAATTATACGAGTTGCTCTGCTCTCTGACACGCAAGGGATTCGACTCAATGTAAACAGCACGTCCTTGTGTTCCGGCACTACCCAGCCTAACACGTGCGCGCTAGCGGTGTTATTGATGAAACTAATTTGTAGATCACTCAGTCACTTGATTGGGACTGAAATAGTGCAAAATTACTGCTATAACATCGGATAGCTACAGCCTTTTGACAAACATGGGTCCCACCATCGAAACGTCGACCAGCTAGTCAGGTGAACCTTGTTCTTTCAAATAAATGAAACTGCAGCGGGTCGCTATAATGTTAGTGAACGTTTACCCCCATTTGAGGCGCCATCTAGCAACACTAGCTGAAGTAAATAAATTATATGTCAGTAGTAGCCAGCATTAGAAATTATTACCAAAATGACACTGAAAGTGGGGGAGGCGGGGATAAACAAATACTAGTACAACCACGGTAGCCGTATAACACAGCAGCGGCCCTGCAGATGGCGCAGTGAAATATCACCACCGACAAGATGAGTACATACTTCTGCAACCTGAGTGACATGAGGAAGTTCCTCGACGGAAGGAGAACTGAACATGGAGTTTCCATGAAATTTATTTCTCTCGAATCTCTCTTTTGCTCTAATAATGAACGACTGTCCAGTCGGGCCATCAGTTTGCCCCACGTCATGCACCTAACGAAGTGGACAAACACTGCAGACAACGTGTTCGAGTATGTCACCACAGTCACGAACGTCCAATGCCTGAAAAGGGTACGCGAACAAACGGTGCTAACGTTGTATGTATATATATGAAAAAAGTGTAGGTGCTTACCTCTAGCTGCTCGTTCTCGGCAGCGTCGTGGAAGGGCGACTTGCCGTACTTGTCCGGCAGGATGGCCGCGCCGTGCGCCAGCAGCCAGCGGAGAGTCTCCACGTGACCCCGGCTGGCCGCGAAGTGGGCTGCGGTCGCACCGTCGTTGTCTCTCAAGTTCGGGTCCACGCCCTGGTCCTCCACCTGTGGAGCAGCGACCGGTTAGCCGACTAAACGACGACGGTCGGTTGACGCTATAGAAGTCATAAACGACGATTTCATCTTTATTTTTTCTCTTTTATTTGTCGCTTGAGCAGTCCGCCACAGTGGAACAGTGATTATGACGCGCGGCTGCCGACCCGAAGGTCGCAGGTTCGATGCCGGCCGTGGCGGTCTCACTTCGATGGACTGAAAATGGAAGAATCTCGTGCACTGTGCGATGTCAGTGCACGCTAAGGATTATTATTATTATTATTATTATTATTATTATTATTATTATTATTATTATTATTGTTGTGTTGTTGTTGTTGTTGTTGTTGTTGTTGTTGTTGTTGTTGTTGTTGTTGTAAGGTGAGTAAGAAGAGAGAAGAGAGAGGGGAAAGGTAAGTAGGTCCACAAGACGATAATATGCGGTGTGTTTCGTTATCCTGCACTAACAGATTGAGGAAAGAATTCACTAAGCTTGTATGTCCGGCTCTGACCTAAATAACGTATTCTTCCATGTTTTTTCTTCTAACACGAAAAAAAAAAGACGGAGGGAAGGGGGGACCTTTATCACCACGCTAGCGTTAATAAGCTAGCATTATAAATGTGTACGGATGACTTATATATGAGACGACAAAAATAAAAACGTTTATGAAGAATAAACGAAACAGAGTGAAGGAAAGGGTGGCCGTATCCTTACTGCAAACTTTTGTTAGCTAAGGCCGCCAGCCTGCATCCTTCCGTGAGGCCATGCTGGTCCTCAAGGGCCAAGCTGGACGGGTATGCGTTCCATATTTCCCGAAATTGGCGGCCCTTTAGCGTCTAAGGCACTACTAGCCTGGTAGGACTGTACCATATCCTATAAATCAGCTTTTTGCCCGTAGAATTTCCATTCGACTCCAAAGGTCTGTGGCTCGAGAGAACGCGGCTCCACCGCATCATTAAACGACGCAGTCTGCAGTAACCATAAATGGTATTCTTCTGGTTGGCTCAATTTCTCGAAAAGCGCCTAAAAAATGGTATTCACGGCAATGCTGTCGCAATTTTCCGTAGAGCAATCTCTCTCTCTTCGAGTAGCGTTGTACGTTTCTCCCCCACTCTCGTGTATCACGAGAAAATTTCCAATGCGTCTTGCATCAAAGTGCACCGAAATGGTTCGTGCTCTGCTCGCTCGGTACGAACGTGCTTGGCTCAGCGGTCGCTTACGTCTTTCATCGTAGCATCCCTGCAGCGCAGCTGGCTCAACCGATTACCGTCGAAACGATGGCGAGGCTTCCGCAACAATTTGAAGCGTAGCACCTAGACAAGAGCAATTTACTTTCCTCTGGACCATATGCAGCTATAGAATGCGGAACAACGCCATATATATACGTCTGTTTTACTGTTGTAACTATATTCCTCACCCGGCAGGGCTGGAGGTTTTTCTATCATTATTGATAGTAGTCGATCGATTCTTAGCCGCCGTTGCGCTTCAACGGGCGCGCCGAAACCTTCCTTTAACCTACTAAAAGAAATGGGAGGCGCATCGTTTCGAAGATGATTTTAAACGCTTAAGACAATAAAAAGCTCAGACGTGAAGGCATCGCGGGAGCAGTACGAGAACGTTAAGTACAATAACTTGTCTACAAAAACCGGATCGCCAACCTTGCGGTGGTCACCGGTCATTGCTTGATGCAGTAAATGTATGCACATTTACTGCATCGACATTGATTTTACATACGATGCTTTCGTGGGGAACTCGGTAAACGACCATTTGCTACTTTGAGCCCTTTCCAGCTCCGACTCTTCCTTGCTATAAAGAGTAGACGCGACTGTTAGGTGCTTTTCGTGCCTGAAGCTCATTCGGCCGCATTAGAGGCCATATGCAGTGGGTGTTGTGTTCTGTTCTAAAGAGTTGCTGTGGAGAGGTTGAAGTTTATAACCTCTCGGCCACTCGTATTTCTATAAGCTCCATAACGCAAACAAACAAACAAAAGTGGTGGCCCTGAAAACACAAATGAACAAGTAAAAGGAAAAAACACGTCGCTAGCTGAAATATGTATGTAAACACTAAAATGAACAGTTCGCTCACAGGAAACATATTTTTGTCCAAGTTATACTGAAGATATATGCCCAAACACGTTACTTCACTCCGTGTCCAGAAGCCCATAGCTGTGCACCACAAGCACTTGTCTAGTCCAGTGTCCCCTGCAGAGTATTTTATTGAGATGTTCCCCTTTTGCTGAGGATGCTCTTCAGGCCACGATTCCAGTAATATTTGAGATGTGAGAAAAAGTCGGTCCGAACAAAAAAGCTTTTTTCCCTAACTTTTTTTTTCGCTGGCGTACTTGACGGGTTACAGAAGAATTTGACCATCGTTCTTATTTTCGTTTCCACAGCAGCGTTGAGGTAAGCTCGATCATTGCAACCAGTGCAGAAAACTGTATGTGTATGCTACTCCCAATCGAAGCCTGTGAAGTAACGTCCCACTGTGTCGTGGGAGGGATCAAATAATTCACTGGGTGCTCTCGGATGGCTGCCGGTGTATTTTAAGGCCAGGTGTGAGGCCTGTCTATAACGACAAGCGCCAGGTTCGAACTGCACTGCCAACGCTGGCATGCAAACATGTGCTCACATGAAGGGTGACGTCACGATACCAAATGCTATGTATTGGGCTGTTGTTTTATACGCTAATACTGACTCACAATACCGTGACCTTGGATTATATGCATGTCTCGCATCCTTCAGATACATGTCACCTCCTAATCCGCCCTCCATACCTTAATCCGGGGCGTCGCCAGCCAGAGAAGAACTGAGCGGGGTTGCACCTCCTCCCCCACCCTTCCCCCCGAAATTTGGTCAGTTTTGAATATGCACACATACAAACACACACACGTATATAAATTAGGTATGGTTGAACTCCCCTCCTCCAACAACAACAACAAAAAATTCTGGCTACGATAGTACCCCTACTCATCCAAGGAGGGCGCCAAATTTACTCATTCGGAACAATCCAACCTTTCTTTCAATTGCAGGGTAATGACCGCGCAAATCTTTGACGATAGTGGTGATCGAGGACAACTAACTTTATGCTCCAAGAAATGCTTGGGTACTTCCGGCCATCACCATCAAAGAGCTGGAGACCAGAGGCAAGTCAATGTGAGAAACACGCCGTTCAATGGGCTGGGAGGGCGGGAACTGACTACAGAAACAAGCGCTCACAAACAACAGCCATTAGTGGGCGCTCATGTTGTGTGGTTATGCCTTCGTCTGCGCTCTCACGTTCCCAGTTCGCTGAACGATCATTATTTACCAACTAGTTTACCTTTCGATGCGTCTGTTTGTTTGTTTGTTGCCTATCAGCTTTGGCACATACCTTCGGGGGATCGGCCAAGAAAAGTTGTAGTAGCCTATATCTGATAACTATGCAATGATTTTCAGTCTGCTAATAAAATGTACAAAAAAGAAAACAAATTGCAAATTATTTTTAAGAACAAAGAATAATAAAGTAAATATGAATCAATTAAAAAAATGGGAGCAAATACTATATTGAAAACTGAAATTATGAGCTGAACAGACAGTTGAGCTTACCTCACCCATTCAAGATCGAATGTATGCCCAATATTTATTCACATTAACAATCATATCTTTAGTATTTGTCGAGCATACATTAAAGCTGACGTTACATTGGCATGCGCTTAGATTCTCGAATAAAATTACGTGCTACGTCATACGTTACTGTGCCAGCGTCCCAAGACGGAGGCACCGAAACTTAGAACATGATCTGCAGTTAAACTTAAACCTACCTTGAACAATGAAATAACTGGAAGTATTTTCCTGATTATAGATTAGTTCCGACATGATACACAATATTGTTCGATAGTTGCTGTTTCTTCGCAGAATTAACTAATATAGCGAAATGAGTAATGAAATATAGGTCATTAAATACTTAAATGATGAAGAGCCTAGCAAGATCTTCTCTTTGGCTGACTGGTGGCTTAAATCCATTGCCAAGCTTATATTGTTTTGACCTTGACCAGGGGGTTGGGGGCGGGCAGTGAGGGCTGTGTTTTTTTTAGTCAAAGAGTGAAGCGCTTGTATGTCAGCACCAGGTAGTACAGTAGCACAAAAAAAGTGAATGAATCACTTTTGAGTGATTCCGACAAAAGTGAGTACGACAACGTGTAGCCTATGTTTTCTTCACCCAACTAAGTAACGCTCACGGGCTTCAAAGAAAAGCCATCTGCTACAAAGCGTCAGCGTACGAGTTCTCACTGTCTCATCTTGAAGTCCGCCAATGCGGAAAAACGGAGCCATTGACTGAAAATTCCCCACCACTAATTATTTTTCTTTCAATATGTCGGACGTGTCTTTTCGGCCATCGAACGTAACGTGTTGCCTTTTATAGCCCTTAAATGCTCAGAAAGAGGAACCACCGCATATAACCTAGGGCTGCCATCCTGGGCCCTCATTAAACGCCTTCTACATCTATTCATCAACATCGGGTCCCGCTGAAGCCTGCAAAACTAATGAATGCAATGAGAAAAAAAAATCCACCAAAGACAAAATTTCTGCTATCTGAAAACTGCTGCGGCGGTGTTGGCTTTGATGTTGTATTAACCTGACAAGGAATAACAAAACAGATTTATAAATGATCAGCTTTGTTAAATGTTGCTCCCAGGTGAATTCAAACAGAGAATAAGGGAGCAGAAGGCTCGTTACATGTTAAAAATAGAAGAGTGGCACGAAATCGTTCGGCAGTTGGTTTTCAGGTATAGTAAGTCACCATGCCTTCGCAATGTGACCTCATAAATGTATACATTCAATGGATTTATTTTGGCATCACCTTGAATGCATTTTACAGAAGCCACTGACCGGCTTTAAAAAAATCCAGCTTTTTATTACAGTTAGAGTGAAAAAAATTCACAGCATATCCACAGAGTGAATGATGATGAGTGGGTCGCAGCGTCCGTCCGTCCTTCGTACGTCCGTCGTACGTCCATAAATCTGCCCGACAATCT